CTGCTTCAGTGCCGGGAAAAGCCTGCTCTTTTGACAGATAGTAGATATCCCCACCGTCACTTGTTTGGACATCCCTGTCTTTTGTGATGTGCAATAAAAGACGGGCAAGAAAATAAAAAGCATCTAAATAATGTCAAAAGATCAGAAATCAATGGGCCGCAGGAACGTGATCCCCGCGTCTCTATATGTGATCTCCCCCATCGCATTACGAGTGTCTTTCCGCAGCTGCTAAAGTTGCTTTTGTTCACCCCCTCGGAGATGTAACTCAAGCATGAGGAAGCCATCTGACGATGTTTGGATATCAGCAGAAAATAGACTTTTACTTAAAGGTTACTATCCAAGGTTTATTGGGTTACATGCTCATCAATGTTGGGAAAGGGGAAAAGTTGGGCAAAGAAAGGTTTATTAATGTGCAGGTTCATATTTCAACGCACTTTGTGATGTCATGCGTAAAAATCTGGAAATTATCAATTGAAATGAGCTGATGTACACTATTTCATATTTTATTTGAATTTTTGTGTAGCATATCATGTATCCATGATCCATTAATGGGTAAAAAATATTTCATTTAAAGCTATGAGGGGGGTGTCATAACATGCCACATAGGCTACATTGCATGACTACTTGTCAGTACAGTGGAGTTTGGATAAACTAATTTAACTTTAATTTAAGATATGATTAGCTTAAAAACAAACTCAATAAAACACAATAAACAGATTTTTCCCTCAGATTTGTCAAGTTATATAAAATCTGGTGTATTTAATTACTATTTTAGGATAAAAGTAGATGTTAAATAATTATACAGTAGGCCTAGGTCTATATTTTTATTTGACAATAGGTTTGTTAAAGTTTTTTTATCTGAGTCTCAATCCATCACAGGAAACATTTTTGGGGGTTGGATTTGGCGTTACACGGTTTCAAGTTCTGTGGAAGAAGTTGTGATCTGTTATAATGAGAGACTGAAAATATTGCACCACTATGCTTTGTGTTGCCCACTGAGGTCGAGAGATAGACACAGGATAACAATAAAAATAACTATTTTTGGACATTTCTAGAAGATAAATTGAATTTCTTTGCTACTTGGAGGTCTTCTTTGAAAATGCAATTGTAATGAACACATTCAGAAACCGGAGAATAGATTTACCCTCAGCTTCAAATAAGTCCGTTATCGGACTCTGTCATTCGCTCCTTCCCATTTTCCAGCTGCTAATTGATGTTTTTGATGTTGGTGAGAAAATTGAAGAAAATGTCATGTGTGAACCAGCGCGGAAGTTAATAAGATTGACTTCGTTGACTGAATTCACAATGAGCGAAGGGGAGGTGTGTAATGGGGACCACTGCAAATTCGCACGTTCGTCTTCGGGGGGGAGGGGAGGGGGGGAATTGACACCCTGCATGCTGTAGGCCTAAAACTATCGATATGGAGAGATGTAGCATTTGGGATGGTTCCCCTCCTAATCTGGATCTCTTTTTTTTGGCCTGTTTGTTTTTGGTGTTTTGTTTTCCCACTTTGCTCTATAGAGTTGCTGATTCGTGCGCATAAGCAGCTGTTTATCCAGAGGGCTCCTGCCCCGGACCAGGCCTAACAATTCTGTGGAATCGTCTCCCAGGGCTGCCTCCCCCCCCTCGCTCCAAACAATGCTCATTCTTAATGCTGTTTTGAGTCTGAAAAGCCACAGAGCTTTAAAAACGTTAGATTAAGATATGGCTAAAAGATGCACCGATATCAGTTAGGGTCATTGCATATGCTTGGGCGATGTGTAACAGAGCTCAAACCTAAATCCCCTTGAATAAAAGGATCGAAGCACCACCATGGTTGTTCCATCTTGAGCCATTTATCTAGCATTGGCTGAAAGCCGAGTGCAGTCCCTTGTTCAAAAATGATCTCTGTATATTTTTTGTTCTCTTTATTATTATCATTATTATTATTATTATTATTATTAATTGTTTTAATCTTCAGAATAATTCGATGTTCCGACCTTTTATCACTCCATTTTATTTCGACTGGCATTACTGTGAGGTGTTTTGGGGTTTCAGAGTTTTTAATTAGGGTGCGGATTAGCCGAGTTTGGTTCAACGCCTCTGATTATTTCCCCCCGGTCTTTAGGGGACTGAGCTAAAACCCTAATACGGCCAGTACCCCCAAGCAGTCCTCTTTTTGAAGACACTGAACAAAAAAAAGTGCCCTCCGCTAGCGTTCGGCCCTCCGAGGATCGTGGGTAAGGGACATTATTTTTGGAATAGCCAATTAATTCCGCTGGCAATGATCGGTTAGTGCTTCTTTCCCTCACCCCTCCAAATACCCCCCCGCCCTCAACTCGCCATTTGAAATGCTAACACAATGAAATATTTTTCTATTGGTCCATGTCCCTCGGCTAAGCCACTGCCGCGGGCAGAGAATTTCATCGACTGATGAGACCAGAGGCAGGCCCGATAAAAAGGTTACCTATACGTGACATGCACTCCAAGTAGCTAGCGATATCTTGAACTCGAAAGTTCTGTAACTTTTATTTGACTTTTTATCGTTAGTGATGCCACCGTGAGGTCGCAAAGGCTAGAAATGAAGCAAGCCTTCTTGTTACTGTTGCCGCATTACTGAAAAACTAAACAACGTGTCTAATTTTTTATTGAACAATTTCCTTTGTTTGATTGCGTCGTTTTTCTGTAGATGTTCCGAGAACCGTTTTCCATTATTCCATTATACATTTTCTTTATCGGCTAGATTTTCAGTAAATGAGCTTTAATCAATTAAGATGCTTTTCAGATGATAGTATAAATATTTTTGCAAACTTAATGCAGCATATCATAGCCTCTTGATTGAGACAATAATGTATAGCTCAATGAAATAGATACTTTATGATTGTTATGAAAGTGGAATAAAAAATTGCATCAAAGCTGAAACACATCTTCTATTTAGTGTATTTTAATTTCACAAATTGAACTACTGATTGGTTAATATATGTGTGTGTGTGTGTGTGTGTGTGTGTGTATATACAGTTGAAGTCAGAAGTTTACATACACTTAGGTTTTTCAACCACTCCACAAATGTCTTGTTAACAGACTATAGTTTTGGCAAGTTGGTTAGGACATCTACTTTGTGCATGACACAAGTAATTTTTCCAACAATTGTTTACAGACAGATTATTTCACTTATAATTCACTGTATCACAATTCCAGTGGGTCAGAAGTTTACATACACTAAGTTGACTGTGCCTTTAAACAGCTTGGAAAATTCCAGAAAATGATGTCATGGTTTTAGAAGCTTCTGATAGGCTAATTGACATCATTTGAGTCAATTGGAGGTGTACCTGTGGATGTATTTCAAGGCCTACCTTCAAACTAAGTGCCTCTTTTCTTGACATCATGGGAAAATCAAAAGAAATCAGCCAAGACCTCAGAAAAAAAAATTGTAGACCTCCACAAGTCTAGTTCATCCTTGGAAGCAATTTCCAAACGCCTGAAGGTACCACGTTCATCTGTAAAAACAATAGTACGCAAGTATAAACACCATGGGACCATGCAGCCGTCATACCGCTCAGGAAGGAGACGCGTTCTGTCTCCTAGAGATGAAAGTACTTTGGTACGAAAAGTGCAAATCAATCCCAGAACAACAGCAAAGGACCTTGTGAAGATGCTGGAGGAAACAGGTACAAAAGTATCTATATGCACAGTAAAATGAGTCCTATATCGACATAACCTGAATGGCCGCTCAGCAAGGAAGAAGCCACTGCTCCAAAACCGCCATAAAAAAGCCAGACACGGTTTGCAACTGCACATGAGGTCAAAGATTGTACTTTTTGGAGAAATGTCCTCTGGTCTGATGAAACAAAAATATAACTGTTTGGCCATAATTACCATCGTTATGTTTGGAGGAAAAAGGGGGTGGCTTGCAAGCCGAACACCATCCCAACCGTAAAGCACAGAGGTGGCAGCATCATGCTGTGGGGGTGCTTTGCTTCAGGAGGGACTGGTGCACTTCACAAAATAGATGGCATCAGGAGGAAGGAAAATGATGTGGATATATTGAAGCAACATCTCAAGACATCAGTCAGGAAGTTAAAGCAAATAGGCCTTCCAAATGGACAATGACCCCAAGCATACTTCCAAAGTTGTGGCAAAATGGCTTAGGGACAACAAAGTCAAGGTATTGGAGTGGCCATCACAAAGCCCTGACCTCAATCCTATAGAATATTTGTGGGCAGAACTGAAAAAGTGTGTGCGAGCAAGGAGGCCTACAAACCTGACTCAGTTACACCAGCTATGTCAGGAGGAATGGGCCAAAATGCACCCAACTTATTGTGGGAAGCTTGTGGAAGGCTACCCGAAACGTTTGGCCCAAGTTAAACAATTTAAAGGCAATGCTACCAAATACTAATTGAGTGTATGTAAACTTCTGACCCACTGGGAATGTGATGAAAGAAATAAAAGCTGAAATAAATCATTCTCTCTGCTATTATTCTGACATTTCACATTCTTAAAATAAAGTGGTGATCCTAACTGACCTAAAACAGGGAATTTCTACTAGGATTAAATGTCAGGAATTGTGAAAAACTGAGTTTCAATGTATTTGGCTAAGGTGTATGTAAACTTCCGACTTCAACTGTATATATATATATATATATATATATCATATATATATATATATATATCATAATCTTTTTTCATTTTTTACAATATTATACATTTTATTTTTTGCAGTCATTGCACTGACACAAGCTTTGTTTGGGTTGACTAGGTGAGAATGAAACAGTACAGGCGCACCTGTCACATTTGAACACTTCAGGTTTGGGTAAGGTAGAAAGGAAGAGAGGGGAAGAGGAATTGAGGCCTTTTCTCAAATTGTTAGTAAAATATATATGGGCACAGAATAGGTATATATGGTTGCTGCAATACACCCAACCCTATCTTTCAAATTCACACACACACACACACACACACACACTTTGCTGTCTACGAGGACTGAGGCATGTGTCTCCCCATGGCTGCGGCTTCATGACAACATGCCATTAGAAATAGCAGGCCTGTTGATCAATCCTGCCGACATGACAGCTTCGCGCCGCGAGGCCTGGCTCTTTGAGTGCCGGTGCTGCGGCATCACCCTCTCCCGTTTCTCCCCACTAATTGGTGAAAGTTCTCTTATATATGCTCGTGGCACAGAGCTCTTCCCCCCCCCCTCTTCCTCCTGCTCTTCTTCTTCTTTGGTTTTTTCTCCCTTGCCTCCCCTTCCTCTATCCATCCCCATACATATCTATTTTTTTTTTTTTTACTTTAACATTGTCACAATGGAAATGATAACTTTTAGTTAGATAGTGCAATTGGGTTAAGAAAAGGATGTGTGTGCCGCAGGCGTTGCTCGTTCTGCATTTACTACGGGTCTAGTGCAGCTCGCTTTTGACATTGACTCTTGTCACATCATCAATGCAAGATAGGAAGCGTTAGAAGAAGAAAAAAATCTCTCATTGCCAGGTGATCTTACTTGCATGGAGAATGCGATCATGAACGTTCAAGCAATATTTTATATTGTCAATTCACTTGATATTATTTGAAATAGAAAATCTAATTTAAATGTTCTTCGTCATTCAATGTCATAATGTCATCAAATTCGAAACCAATTTAATTGTTGCCTCTCACAACAGCTGTATAGTAGCGTAAGTCTTTTTACTTATTCAATTCATTGTATAATCCCTCTCTTTTTATCAAACAGAATGAAGTTGAACAGTAAAAAATGTCAAAACAATTGGCAGGAAATCTCTCTGTGTTGCCTGCTGGCTGTCACGGTAGTGCGGCGGCAGTGTTTTAATCCACCGGCATCTCTCCCATCAGTCTTTAACGCCACCCACTCTGAGTCTCCTCTGAAGTAAATAAATGAGTGCGAGAGGGGGGAGATAAACACACATTAAATGTTTAACTGTCTCACATTTGTCATCTGTTTACCCCTCTTAATTAAACAGACACAGCTTAGCCCTGGCACTCCAAGTGCAGCCACACACACACACACATGTAGACACAAACATCTCTTTAGCACTGGAGCCTGAGCGCAAACACTGTGTTGCCGATTATTAATTGAGTCATTCATATTGATTTAATCTGCCTTTTTAGGTTAGTAGAGGAATGGAGGCAGAACCTGAGATATTATACCTCTTGTGTTTACAGTGGGGCTTGTTGAAATCTATTTCCCATCTCTTCTAGTTGTGGAATAGAGAAAGCATCTAGCTAGGGCTTCTACTGAGTGGGTTAGACTCTGCTTTTTGTGTGTTATGTACATTGATGTAGGCTCTGTAGAGGGTTTGCCCGGAAAAGATGGAGTTCCACGGGCTTGTCTGGATTTGTTTATTTCTCAGTATGTAATTGTGATTTAGTGTGAACTGAAAACATCAACTACTACCTCCACCCAGTGGCACAAAAGGAGAAAAAAAAATCCCAGGTATGATTGGCAGTGTGCAGTATCTAATGTGGGTGTGAAGACTTGCCTTGGGCAGAGGGAGAAGGAGGGGGGATTTTACCACACAATAGCATTGCTATATCTAGCATTCTGCATTGTTCCTCTTATCCATACACTACTTCATACTGTAAACTCGGTCAGGAGACTCCCCTCATTATCAGCAGTGAATTGTAATGGTGACATCTTTAGAAGCGGCAGCGGAGCCGACGTGAATGTGACTTGTTTATGGATCGTAGCATGCAATCAAACAGTGTGTGTGTGTGTGTGTGTGTGTGTGTATTTTCATGCAAGTGTTTGTGTGAATCAGCAGGGAGATCTGCACCACTGTAAAATCTACCGTATTCTCCATGTTAATCATTCCCTTGAAAATGTACAATTAACAGTGTATGGTTGTACGGTAGTGGTGTGCCAGTTCTCCAGGCTGCCGGAGAGAGATGGAGAGAAAGAGAGAGCCGGTATTGAAGCCCGGGCCTCGGGTGAGTGGGAGAGGAGAGGAGAGTAGAGGAGAGAGGAGACGAATTGGGGGGCTCCTCAGAAGCCCCCTCTCTAGATCCGAGGCGGGATCAAAGCAGCTTGTTTTATGTGGCTGGCACGAGACTTTGAAGTCCCCGAGTCACCTACAGCACTCACTTCATCAAGTTCACTAGTGTCTTAATAGCAGATCAATAAGTTTCAAAGTCGGAGAGTTAATTTGATACTAGTGCTGATGTGATCATGCTGGGCCACAGAGCTGCCTGCTCTCCTCTCCTTCTCTTCACCTAGATTGGACCTGTTTTAGACTCTCAACATGCATTAAGATGTGGAGGGGTTCTCTGATCACTGTTTACTCTTAAAGACCGGCTCCGGTGAACACCTAATTAATTTGGTTGTGTGTCGGTGTCAGTGCAATTACATCATTCATTATCCAATAAGAATTATATTTGTATAGTGTCTAATTTTGTTATAAATTTTTTATTATTATTATTATTCATAGACATAAACATGTATATTGATGTAAAATTACAAAATACTGTAGATCTATCAGGAACACACAATTATGTTGTAAAATTCAGCATATATTCATCTATTACTGCTATGTTTGGAAAATACTCTAACATTTTAGAACGAAATGTTCTCCCATGTTGAAGTAGAACTCTAAATATAGCAGTAGATAATAAAATTATTGACTATGTTCTAAATTTTTTAAAGCAATATCAAAATATGATATTTCCCACTAACCATAAGTGAGGTAAAATAATATACATCTCTTATGAAAATTACAGCTATATACGATACTTATCTAAAAATAAAAACACTCGATAAAAATCACGGCGATGCCGACGGCTTTTGGAGGCGCAGTAAAATGTAGATATGGAGCGGTCGGTCCTAAGCTGCTTTCTTCATTTCGATAAAAGACACTACCATCTGTATTTTGGGGCGGTAGTGCCGGTGGGCTGTTGGGGTCGGATCGGCACCTTGAGAACAAAAGCCCAATTTAGAATGTTCATCTAAGGGTTGCTAATGGTATTAGGGGTCCGGCGGGGTGGTCGGCAGGGGCCCGACACTCCAAGATGCGCCCACAGCTTGACCCCCGACCTTCACCAATTCACCGGCCGGTGGCATTAGTGCCCCACATCTGTCATTTTTCGTACACCCCCCTCAGCACCTTTTTACTATATTTCATAGTGGTATTTTCCAGAGAAAAGATAGAAAGTCTTAATATGCCCATAAAAAAGGTTCATACTTTGGTCGCCCACCTGACCGATAACTGGAAAGTGAAAGCAGCGAAAGCACCTCAAAGATGGTAAAAATAACTGTTATCGAACGAGTTCTTACGCCTCATGGATGAGAAGACAAAACGTTTTTTGGGGGCAAAATCATTTTTTCTTAAGCATTTACAATAGATGTTGGATTAACAGTAGGACTGAACTAAATGGCATTGTTACCCGGCTAACTTCTCAGCGAGGCAGGTGCAGGTAAGAATGCTGGTGATTAAGACGCTGTTTTTTGAAAACACGTTTTTATTACGACTTGGTATTATTCTGCCCAGTCTCGATCAGAAAATATGTGATTTTTCAGACATGTTGTTTGATGTACATCCCGGGTTGTACTTAATGCATTTCAGACTGTTGGGAAAAGGTTCTCTGGTTTGAACTGTAATGGTGTAAGCGGGTGGTTCTGATGGTTAAGGGAAAGGGTATCCCGGTTAGAGTTGAAATGTTGGTAGCGGGTAGTGCTGGAAGGCTACCTGTGTGGTCCTTGGTGGTCGGCACTGTGTCAGGCTCCGCGTAGAGCGCTGGCAGTCCAGGTTTTTTATTAATGTTTCATGGCAAAATTGTGCAGGAATTATTTACTATTTCGTGTCTGTAGCTTATTCCTCTTCATTCCAACTCATGTTAGAAATCACCCAGGAAAAAGTATTCCATGAGGATGGGAGCAATGTTCCTTAGAATTCAGATTCTATCAAAAGAAGAAAAAAATCATAATTTTGGACTGCTGTCACAGTAAATATTTGTAATTTGTGGTTTCAGTCCTTTCAGTAAAAACTGTAAAAATCCTGAGTCAGAATATTTATATCTTTCTCTTTTTTTCTAACGTTCCTCCAGCTCACGCACAATGAAATCGTGCTTCATTAAAAGTGTATTCATCTTGTCTCTTGTCTCCAGGGAGGCACCTTAAGATGATGTTGTGTCTTTTTCTTTAAATTGTCTGAGAAAAAAAAATCTCCCAGATTTGGTCCCTGTCAGTCAGAAATAATTGTGTGCTTAATCTTGTCCCTGATGGATGACTTGGAGTTCAGCAATGGGCCAGGTCCAATGACAAATACAATATTAATATTCATTAACTGCTTTGACAATGCTAATTTTGAAGCAGTAGTAAAGGGCCTTCCAAAGTTAGCGGCCAAAGCATCAGAGCTGCGCAAGGTGGCAAGATAATTTGTGCTGCTTTACTGAGCTGAAGGCTTTTAAAGTCTTAAGGAGGGGAAAAAAAAGCTGGGTACCACAAACAAAATACAAGAGAAAAGGAAAAAGTTCAGACGCGTTGGAAACCAGGACTGCGGAAGTAATACGATCAAGAGACGGCAAAAAAAATTTGACACCTCCGATACCGCATCTTTGAGCGAATATAATTTTTTTTTTTACAGAAATTCGCAACCAAAAAAAGAGCATAACATGGTAAGTCAGCACATTCTCGATTTTGTTTAATCTTTTTGATCTTTTCAATTATCGCCATTTGAAGATCAATAGTCCTTTTTTTCTGCTATGGTTGAAAGGCTCACAGCGGTGGTATGGTGGATGGTCTGAACACAGCTTTAAGAGTGGGCTTCCTCTCTTCAAGCCACCAGTTGGCCGGGCTTTATTTCCCTTTGCCAGTTCGTTAGGAACCATAACGGCTTGTTTCGATGTATTAGTATTTTTGTTATTGTTCACTGCTGTTGTTAGCTTGTCTTCTGGCTTTGTTTGACTTTGGAGTTGGAGCTCCTTTTTCTTCTCGGTTGTCTTTGGAGATTACAGGGCGACAGTAGAGGTTGCAAAGCTGTAACAGTGCGACAGGTCTTTTGTTAATAAATGTCTGGTTGGTCTTTTTGGTGTCGTTGTATTTTCCGGGGTCCCTTCATCAAAATCTGGGGCTACCGGCAGGCAGGACCAGGGGGCAACGGGGCCACAACACCACACACTCGCTGCGCCATTGGATTACATTCTTTGGCTTTTTTTGTTGTTGTTGTCCTGTGTTTTTTTATTTTGTGTTTTATTTCGTCCGACTCCTATTGAATGGAGCGTGGCTAGCGTTGGGGATTAATGACATGACGAGGGACACCCCACTGCTTGAGTTTAGCCAAGTTAGGGCAACTCCTATAGAAAAGTCGAGGATCTTTATGTCTGCCAAGCCGCCGAAGGAAAGTTTCTCTCCCTATCCCTCACTTCTTTCTCTTACTTCTTTCTCTCACTTCTTTCTGTTGTTCTTTCAACGTATCAAAGAAAGAGAGATGGACACGAAATAACTTATTAGGGGGGATATGAAGATGGGCGAGGGGGAGAGAGGGACTCCTGGTCAGATGCGGAGGAGAGCAAAGCTGCCTGAGTGTGTGTGTGTGTGTGTGTGTGTGTGTGAATGAGGGGGCTGAGTGTGAGCAGCCCGGTTTGGGCGCTCGCTCTCTCCTCTGTCGGACCTGGATCTGCTTACCATTGCTGGCTGGCGCGCCACCGTTCATTTTCCCTCTTCTTTGGGCTCGTGTGTTATTGACTCAGTCGATCGGGCGTTTGGTTTGCGAGGGGCTGTCGTAGATGAGGTGCTGCCCCCCAGTGGATTAGTGGATGACATGGTGATGGGCGTCTTGTTGTAGTCTGTGCGCTACCATGAGCGCCAGCATGCTTGTTTTAACCAGGAACCGAGCAGCATCCCAAATACAGCTCTTTTAAATGGTAAGACTTCAACATTATTTATTACCTCCTGTGCTTTTTTGTTCAACTAATGTGAGTGGACTTTAAATCTGGCTTTAAATATTATTATTTTATTGGAGTTTATTGACATTATTGTATGTCTTCCATTTGGCAATTTATAATAGTTTAGTTGCTAAGTGACATGTTGAAAGGAAGTGTTTGATTGCTTTGTCTGACAGTCTGACAGGGTTTTATCTAAGGCAACACTAATCTTAAATTATAATGTATTATTTTGTCAAAATAATCATATTGATATTAAATCATTACAATTATGATTAAGGTAATGAAATCAGTCAAGTGCTTTGTACTACTGTTAATTACTAAATATCATGTATTTTTTCTCCAGTTTCTTCTAATGGATTTTTATATTTATTTATTTTAAATAGCAATTTTGATAGTTATTGTTCTTTAAATAATTTTGAAACGTATTTAAAAAAATGAATTTTAGATCATGAAACTCAATTTGTATTATAAGTACATTTTCTATTAAATCAATTATCATGGTATGTAGATTAGGAGCATCTCTTTGAGTTTATGCCAATCATTTTCATTTAGTGTCCTGTCTTGTATTCCTCAAAGTTAAGTCCAAATGAGTGGGATTTGTAACGGTCGCCATCCATTGTTGTCCATTCCGGTATCCTCTCTTTCTACAGACTTTCCTCTCTGTCATTTCTTTTCTTGCACACTTTTTAGTCTAGAGCGAATGCCGGAGACAGTGGAGTGGGATAGAGGGTCTTTTATTTCTCTCTTTTTTCAGAGGAGTAGTCTCTCCTGTTGGTCGCACTGTTGCCATTGTGGCCCGGCGGATTGGGAGCTGTCCATCATTTGCGTGCGAACTGACAGTTTACTTAAGAAAGTGCACATGGGACAAAGGAGGTCACGGGAGTGTGGCGGCCGAGTTGAATGGAGGGAGGGAAGGCAATTAGCCGCCACGTTGTGAGGGGTTCATTTACTTGTCAAGCCCGGAGCCTCGTTGCTTTTGTGGGAGCCGTGTAAAGGACATTCCCAGGGCTTTGTTTTGGCATTAAGGGCCTCAGGACTGCCTGGCGAAGGCCAGAGGAGAGCAGGGCAAAAAAAAAAGAGAAACAAAGTGAAAAAACTTCTTGAAATAAAATAGTTGGATAAAAGCCATGCGGTAGGATTTTGTTGTTTCCGTTGTTGTCATTTTTATACGTCTTATTGTTACTCAGATATTGAAATATACTGGACCGCCTTTTCAGTTGGCCCTATATTTTAAATATTTTTTTAGATTCATTATCACCAGGTAAATTTAAGTGACAATGTGTTTGGAGTATACCGTAGGTCAATTCCACCGACTTTTTTTTGTCACTAAGTAATATTACAATGATAACCGTATAATTATAGATTTATTAGGAACCAACATTTTATATTTAAAATAAAATATCTAATTAACCCTTGGTGAAGCAGGTTGTAGTGCAATTAGTTAATTCATCCTGCTTGTTAATTGGTTTCTACGTCTCCTGGGTATGCTTTCCCTGGTCAAAGGCCCTGGAAGTGCTAAGAGTCTGCAAAGAGTTGGGGACAGGAGCATGGTTGTGGGGCCCGAATATTCAGAGGAAATTATCTCAAGATAATAACGTTTAAGAGAAGGAGGACAGTAGGGGGTGTGGAGGCTTTAGGCCTTGCATTAGGCCTTGCTTAGTCGATCTTCTCACACAGAGAGCTCAGGAAGAGTTTGACGGTGGAATCGTCCATCCTCCCATCTTCAGTATTGTAGGACAGGAAAAAACTGAAAGAAAACCCCACGTAGATGTCACGTCCATGTCAAAGGGAAGACAAATACCTTTCTTTCTCGTATTCTCCTTCCCCCCTGGAAAGTGGGGTTGGACAGGGGACTGTCAGTATCACACGGATAAGTGACTGTTGGCCACAGTTTGCTGAGCCTGCCCTCCCTTTGTGGATGTTGTTTCTTTCTCTTTTTTTCTCCCCCTCGCTCCTCTTTGTCTCTTTCCTCTTGCCTTGCTCACTTCACCTTGTTGTAGCCAAAGCTTTTCAAGCTGCCAGTTCGACTCTGGGCATCCTGGAGGGACGGCAGAGCCCACACCCACATACACACCCATATATACACACACACACGTATACACACATACAAGCGTGCAATCTGGGAGTTGAGTAATAACAAAACATTTTTGGGGTGTATATTTTTTCTTGTTTGTTGCTTGTGGGAACACTTCTCTGCACTGCCGGGAAGTAGCGCTTGATCTTTTTTTCTTGCCTCGGTTTGTGTTCTCGCATTCATTTCTTGTGACCGGCACAAACTTTCCTGAGAGAGGAGGCTGCAAAGGGCTGCTGAGAGTGGTGGAGGAAGCTGAGGAATCCTCAGGCTGTTTTAGGGGAGGTACGGGGGGGGGGGGGCAGGCCACTAGGCCCCAGACTCTGAGCCCCATCCGTGGATCTTTAGAGACATACGCCTGTGGTGCCTCCAGTCACAAAACCCGGGGAAAACAGTAGGCCAGTCGTGTGGCGATGAGGATGCCAGTTTGAGGGACACGCACATGCCCAGCCGCACACACTCCAGTACTTTGGGGGAAGAAGAACTGAGGGCTAAGAAAAGACAAAGAAGAAGAAGTAGAGGAGGAAGAAGAAAGGGAGGCCGTAGTGAGGAAGGAGAAGTGGGAGGCAGGTGAAAGGAGAGCAGGGGGTCATGTACCTGAGGGATGGTGTTTTAGCGGGGCCGGAGGAGAGGGGAGCCAGAGGAGGAGTCCTCGCCCCAGGGCTCTCCCTCCTCCAGCAGATCGGCTGCTGGCATCTCAACCTCAGTGGCTGGGTGAGTAAAGCACACTCCCCTGCCTCTTCTCTCCGTCTCTCTTCATCTCTCTTTCTCTCAATTCCTGTGCTCCATCACTTTTTGATTGTGTTACCAGATGATGGTTGTTGTGATTAAGGGGGGCCCAGGGGGTATTCCCCCACTGTGTGTGCAGGCTGGTGGTCATCTGCTTTAAAGTGGCTGTAAAGAGCGCTTTTTCCTTTCAAATATAACTCTATGCCTTTTTTTTTTGGGGGGGGGGGGGGGGGGGGGGGGGGGGCTGTGTATGTTTATGTGCGGGGAGGGGAGGTGTGTTCTTGATCTTGGTGTGTGTATGGGAGGAGTGTGTGGGGATATGTTAATGAGCAGTGTACATTTACAGAAACAGTCCAAAAACAGGAAGTAGCAGCATTGGAAATAATTGTGCTTTTTGCCATTTTGTTTTAAATTGATATTTAAATCTATAAACAGTTATTTACTAACAAATTTACATTTAAATAGTTATTTCAATATTGCGTTGTTATTCCTCAAAATATAATATCTTGTTATCCAGCTGAATAGTATTTCCTAGACAAATAATTACTTGATTATGCTCATGTCTAACCATTAAATATTAAATATAATTGAAATAACCCACAAATTAACATATTCCTCTGTTGATTTTGCAGTCTAATTCAAAATTATAATTACTTCTTTCAACTGAAAATGAGAGGCGCTGATTGCATTTCAAAAGATGACAGAACTACTGTAGTATCACTGCTTAAAGACGCCTCCTCAACTCAGGTAGGAAAGCTCAAGAGATGTTTACATTTTAACAGGAAAGCATAAACACACATAGCATTCATGTTGCTCTTGTATAAACCTCCATATTGAAGACATTAAAATCAATTTTTGACAATTATTGATCAAAATCACATTGACAAAGTTATATGTAAGATATATTGCAGAATGTAAATTTGACAAATGAAAGACTTCGGTATGAAAGAATGAATGAAGAGAGATGGAGAATGAGAGCAAAGGCTTTGGCCCAGGTAACATTTTTGTTCGGTCCTGTGATCAGCAGCAAGTATGTCACTGCAGCAAAGTGAATAGATTAAGTTTTAAATATACTGACTCGGTCTCTGGAGCAAGATACCCTTGGCTGGACTGCTTTCCCCCTTTCTGGAATAGCAATACTGATCGCCTGGCGCCTTCCTAAATTGTTTCATTTTTTTCCAACCCAGCTCTGAGATCCTTTAATGTTACTAACAGATATATAGTATTTTAGTGCAAACACAACAGTGAAGGTTGGTTTCACGTGTAAACAAAAGTATGTGTTTAATGCTGCAGAAATTGTCCAGTTTTAATTAAAATATGGTGATCTAATTTAATGTTCATAGAGGATTAAACTTTAAGATATTGTCTTGGTAAAGTAACCAACACAAAATGATATGTAATGTGTTTCTCTGCTCGTTTGACCCCAAGGTGTTGCATTAATAAAAATGTAGCATTGCGCCGATTTCATGTGTAGCCTACGATCCATCTTTGTGAATGTTCAGTTTGATCTCCATCACTGCTAACAGTGAGAGGGAAAATGTAGTTACTGGAAACAGAGATGTGATATGGGCATCACTTGGAGATGAGAATGTTTTGCATGGAAGGGGCACTCTGAACTTCTCAGAGGAAAACTTGAATGTTTTATGAAAATAGATCCTATCCTGCCAATATGAGGTATTGTGGACAATCATTTGATGTTGCCATGGTAATGACATCAGTTTGTGTTTTGATTTTTACACTTATCAAAGTCCACAGACACAGACACACACTCCAATCATTCCCTCCCTCTCTTTTTCTCCCTACCTCCCACTCCCCTTGCACAGTCTGTGTTTTCTGCAAACTGGCACGTTTTGGGAGCGGTTCAGGGCCTTGGCAGCCGCTTCTGTTTGCTCTGGAATTTGTGGGCCTGTGAGGACCCCTATCCATCACTATGCTGTCAGGCCCCCCCCCAACTCCTCCCCCGCTCCCCACTGGCTCATCCCCACTACAGCTCATTACAGCCCGCAAGCCGTTGTGACAACTTATCATATCATGACATAAAGCACAGAGATACGCGCTAGGCCCCCCAGAGGCCACAAGGTCGCCACCTTCACATTTAGTCTTCAAATTGCCCTGCAAGGTGCCACCAAGCGGATATGCAAGGCCAACAGCTTTTCCCTGTCCTGGTTTTCTCTCCAGGGCCCCTTTCTCGCTGTCCTCCTCCTGTCCCTTTCCTTCTGTTTCTCACAGGGCATTCTCTTGTAACTGTCATTCCCACATATCTGTGGTGAAGCTGCTCAAAGAGTGGTTTGTAAGAGTAAATAAATTAATATTTGATTAGTCTAGTTTCCTCTTATTTATTTGAACAAGTTTGTGACTAGACTAATTGACGAGCAATACATCATTAAAACATAGTTATTGACTCTGATATTTTCAGATCCAAAACCATGGTCAGTTGAACCATAGAGCGCAAGGCAGTATTAGAGAAAGAGGGTACCTAACCAACCCTACATCAGCCCCAGTGCGTGAGTGGCTGATGGGAAAGCCTAGGGGTCAGGGGTCGGACAATGATGCTGAGTGAGTGTGACACTGCCTCTCCGTGGCAACCATAGAGCCTGCACACAAACACACAGGCCCTCTCTCCATCCACACAGCTCAGACACTAGTGAGGTCACCACCAGGGGTCAAGACCCTGAGCCCTGCGGCTGTCACTCGCACCGAGGGGTTTCAGCGTTCGCACGCATACGCTCACGTGAACACGCATGCTCTCACACACGCTCACACAAACTTTTCTTGAGGGAAAACATTGCTCTTTCTTGGCAGTGTGAATCATTTTAGTATTTTCTATGTTTTTATAAAGTAGTGTTTGTGTGTGTCGCAAGTGTCCTAGTACTGCAAGTCTTCTGTAAAAGGTTTTGACATTCAGCAGTTGGAATTGCTGCGGGACACTTTCATTCAAAATTAACATCAAGGAACAGTAGTGTATACATAGTCATACGATTGTGTGCGTGTTTGTGTACACACTGTACTCAACAGCTCTCTCATGACTGGTCTCCTAGTATATTTCTGTCTATTGTAATGCAGGAAGTGGTGAGAGTGATTGAAACAGAAGGGCCAGGAAGTCAGCTTTGCTCTTCCCTTTGTAGAGAAACAGAGAACATACTCCCACGTAGTTCCTTTGTGTAGTGTGTGTAGTGTGTGTGCTTTACATAATGCTCCGCTTGTTTGAGGAGCTGTGTTGTGATTCCGTCAGCGCCTGTTGTCCGAGGGTGTTAAAAGCAGGTTCTGTACCGAGGTCTAGTTTACACAGGTATAGCAGGGTTTGGATTCACTTGAACGGAAAGGGTGTTTGTGTGTGTCTGTGTCTGTGTCTGTGTCTCTGTGTGTGTGTGTGTGTGTGTCTGTGTGTGTGTGTGTTTGTCTGTGTCTGTGTCTGTGTGTGTCTGTGTATGTGTATGTATCTCTGTGTGTGTCTGTGTCTGTGTCTGTGTCTGTGTCTGTGTCTGTGTCTGTGTCTGTGTCTCTGTGTGTGTGTGTGTGTGTGTGTGTGTGTGTGTGTGCACGGTGTAGGCTATATTTTATTTTCTAGAAGCAGAAATGTATTGTTGATCGAAGAGATATGGTGTGCACCAAGCCTGTGTTTCCTGCGAAGGCCTGAACTTCAGGTGTGATGGGTCTCATGTCAGTAAAACAAAACAAATCATCCTGCTTCTCTCCATGGATGTTCCACTAGAGCTCTGGGAATGTGTTACAGTCCAGATGGGCTCTGCACTGTAGGTGTTGGAATCTGGGATGGCCCACCTGCTCTCTCTGTGAGTGTGCAGAAGCTAAACTGATGAGCTTGTCAGGGAAGTCTGAACTCTAGGGCATGTAGAGGTGTGGGAGTCATCTTGACCCAAATGGAAGTTGTAGTGAATCGTTCACTCGCACACACCTCTCACTGCACACCTACTGCAAGCATATAATTGAGAGTTGTTTTAGAATAACTGCACTGAAAAATAATCGTTAGAACGAATTCAGAATGTGTTTATTCTTTAGACTTGATACAGCCATGCTTTCTCTGTAAGGCAGCACATCTCCGTTGCTTATGCATTTTTCTCTCTATGGGTAACATTACACCTCCCTCCTTTCTCCTCCCCTCAGTGACACAGTGAGAGGCTGGCCGCTACAGTAGCCAAACAGCAGCAGTGTCCGCGTGGATCTGAAGCCACATAAAGTGGAGCACTTGTCTTGGCTATTATTTGCCTGGCTCTGCTCGGGGCTTCTGAAAAGGAGGCCTGTTAGCCCCTGAAGTGACTGTGGTGTAAATCGGTTGACTCTCTCTCTCTCTCTCTCTCTCTGTCTCTCTCTCTGTCTCTCTCTCTCTCTGTCTCTCTCTCTCTCTCTCTCTCTCTCTCTCTCTCTCTCTCTCTCTCTCTCTCTTCCTCTCTCACTGTCTGTCTGTCCTTCATTCTCTCACCCTCTTGCTCACCCTCTTTCTCTCATCTCTTGCTGTCTATTTTGCTGTCTCTCCTTCCCTCCCTCTCTCTCTCCATCCATCCATCCCTCACCCTCTCTCTCCTCTCTCTCCTCTCTCTCTCTCAATGCAGACTCAGTGGATGGGCATTTTAAACTGTCTCTCAATGGAGAGGGCCCTGGACAAAATAACTAATTTAAATGGCCACTAAAGCCTTTCAGCACAGGGAGAATTGACAACATTCTTTCACATCATTACTGAGGGGGGTAGAGGAGGAGGGAAAGGGGGTTAGGAGGAGAGAAGGCCATTTGGGATAACCAGTGCGCTCCTCAATGGCTACCTCGTCAGCAGTGTTTGGCAGCTGTCATCTCCCTCAATATTTATTTATCCCTCCATTCTTGATTTCTAGATAGGGGGACTGTGGGGGAAAAACATGTTGATTTGTGTCCTGTGTTCATTTTAACGAGGCGTGTACCTCCACCAACCCCCCTCTCTCTCTCTCTCTCTCCCTCTCTCTCTCTCTCGCTCTCCTTTCTCTCTCTCTCCAGTCTTTTGAGCTCAGGGCTGAATGAGTCCCCAGAGTCTCTCCATGTCTCCCAGTAGTTCTACTGGGTTCATTAATCTTTCATTGGGACCATGGCAGTGGGGAATGCTCCCTCCCTCTTTCCCCTTGTGCTACGCCTCCCCCTCTCCCATCTCCCCCTCTCACAGCCCCACTGAAGGGGGGAGATCTGGAAGGGTACTTTAACCACTCCAGCCTGGTACAGTCCAGACCAACTCCTTTTGCCACCCACCCTGGGTATGGAATGTTGTAGGGTCAGTTGGTCTGGTAGTCAGTTACACAGAATAGGCCATTTATCTCATACAGTGTTCACAGTAGGCTCAGCCAGCCTATGGAGGTGACGATGTCTTTTCACCAGTAAGCTCTGCACATGTGTCTTGCCTAGGGCCTCAGCTTTGCATTTGTATAGTTAAATGAGAAGAGTCCATGTATTATCCCTCCCTCCCTCTCCCCCTTAAATGCATTTCAAAGTCTATTGGAAAATTGCCATACCCAGGCTTTGGGTTGGTGCCTCACCATGGTTAGGGTATCTAATGAGTGTGTTTGGACTGTTAGAGTGGAACATTACCCACACCCCCATTGCACCTACATTACTCCCTCCCTCTCTATACACACACACAGACACACAGACACACAGACACACACACACACACACACACAACCCAGCTAGTTCACTGTCTCCTTTTCCCCAGCACACGTCAGCCATGTTATCATAAGCCTGATTAGTGATGCCTCTTTGACTGCCTAGGGACAGAATAGAATATCGGTTGAGCAAGACCAGCTCACCGCCAGCGGTTTGTACCAGAACAGAATAATCTGGTTAGTGTGTGCGTGTGTGTGTGTGTGTGTGTTTGTGTGTGTGTGTATGCCTGTACCTGTGCCTGGAGAAGTGGGCTAAGCTCTGGTTAACACAGGGCCCATGGCGGAGAACCCCTCAGCTCAACTATCATCTTTGGGTAATTGAAAAAGATGCCTGCGTCATTTAATAGCACAAAGAGCAGGTTATATAGCTAAAACTAATTTGGCAAATATGTAGAAATTGATTTTCTCCCCTCGTTTATTATAACGCCCCCCTATCCCCTTTACCTCCCCTCCTCCTCTACCCCCCAAAACCAGACACTGGGGGGGGGACAGAGAGGGGAGGGGTAGAGATCAGAGGGAGGAGAGGGAATCAGTAGGATAAACCACTAAAGGAGAGTGGGGGAATTGGATGGTAGAGTGTTGCTGAGTGTCGTTATTATGGCTGTGGACTTTACACGTATTTGGTTGAAGCCCCCTTGTCGTGCAGCCCCAATCCAAGTCTAAAATGGCAGCCCTGCATCTGAGATGGCATTACTGAGTGTCACCACAGAAGTGTTCTTAATTACCAACCACACTATTTTCACTCTGCTCTGGCGGTTTGGCGCTCTGAGGGGGTTGATCATTTGATAGCTCTCGTTTTTTAAACAGCTTTCTGATCCATGTTATAATTCCGCTGCAGGCGCCTGCAATCTCTACCCCAAAGAGTAAAACGCGAGAGAGAACGAAAGAGAGGAGGAGAGAGAGAGAGAGAGAGATAAATATCTCTTTCGAGAGAGGATCGCTACTCTCTCTCCTTCTCTCTCTCTCTCTCTCTCTCTCTCTCTCTCTCTCTCTCTCTCTCTCTCCTCTCTCTCTCTCCTCTCCTCTCTTTAGTCTAATAAGGTCCCAGTGGTACAGCACCCTCACCATGTGCACCCGCTCACGCCTCTGATCACCTACAGCAATGAGCACTTCACACCGGGCAACCCCCCTCCGCACCTACAGGGAGATGTGGACCCCAAAACAGGTAAGACAGACTACACTACACTACACTACACTACACTACACTGAGGCCCAGTTGGGAAATGGTTAACATGGTTTGGAAATGGTTAACACTCCAGCCACTCAGTCCTCAAATCCAAACAGTGATCTTCTCCCAAGGTCTGGGAGCATTTAAAAAATATATATATTTATTTTGAATTCTTCAAAATATATATTTAATTCTCATTGTTTTCCACATACAAAGGCTACCACTGCTGCTTATGCAACCACCACACACACAGACACACACTTCTGCCTGATACAATGACATTTTATTTATGGAAGATATAACCCTCACAAAGCACAGCTTTGCAGGGCCTGCTTTCTCTGACAGTGGATTTCCACCGCTGACCACAGGGGGCGATGAAACTTCGGAAGCCATTCATTTTCAGTGGAGGGGAAGGAAGTTGGCTGGGGGACCGTTGGGTGACTCGAGCATGGGTCAGGGAGCGTATAGAGGGCAGCACCAAAGTTGGGGAAAGCTGAACTTTATGCAAGTACTCCGCAACATCGCAGCGCTATTGACCAATCGAAGCTCACTATAGCTTCTAGCCCCCTTCTGGATTGGCTGTTAATACCTAGCACGACCTAGCCTGCTTGCTAGCACCCACATGAGGGCGAAGCTAGCGTGTCTACCGGAGTTATCGTGTTATGTGGAAATCCCTGGTGACCAGGTCTGAGATATTTGAGGGCAGACAACAGTCAGGGCTACTCTGAGAGAGACAGAGAGCTTCTCTCTCTTTTATGGCCTGTGCTATTGTGTCTCTGGTCTTGCAGAATTAAGCCTGTTGACCCCAGTCTCTTTAGCGTCTCTGCACACATGCTCTGGCAGGAAGGGGAGGGTCACTGCTTCCTCTCTCTCTTCTGACACGACAGGAGGAGGTACGTGTGTATAACCTCACACGGCTGAATGCCCCTCTCCTACACACACACACACACACACACACACACACACCCCATCCATCTGACTTGTCCACCTGCAATAAACATTATGACCAAATAGGGTAACTTACTTTCAATATGTTGTACAGTGGTAAGTATTAAGTAGCTTTGAAAGGTCTCTGGTTGTTTTGTTTTGAGGTCATAATGGTCTCTTATTATGATTGTCCTCACAAAGGGGCGATAATAACGTCCCAGCTGCTGTTTAATATGCCAGTTAATGGCCTTGCTTAATTGAGCTTAGTGTTTAATTAATTAACAAGCTATATTAAGGCTTCAGCACTGGATTGGCAATGAAGAGCAACGTTCGGAACGCTTTCCTCTGAGGAGTGTGTCAGCAACATTTTTGGAACCCTCCTCAGCATCAAATGTGTAATTAACGATCTATAACTTGTGATTACATTATTATTATATTTTACATTCATCTTATTGTTCACAATTAGTTCACCGTCAGTATTTAGAGACCAGTGAGAGTTTGTCTACTTTTTGGATGCACAAAATGTTCCTTAGGTACCTGTCACTGAACAAAGTCTTGCTTTGGGTGTGACACACACTGGCGACATACCGGCTGTGGATGGATTCATGGGGCCAGGGTCAGTTCTGCAGAACTCTTCATCTGGGTCCACTCTTTCCAGCCAAAAACTGCTCCACAGCTGCACCGACATGCAGGCCAGGCAGGCCCACTGTGAAAAAATGCTCCGGAGCAAATAAAAGTCCCTCTGCTGCGCTGTCTGCCAGTGGAATTCAAACACTTCCTTGTTGTGTTTTAATGCTCAACACTGGAAAAATGGAAAATCCATAATTTCTTTGCTTTCTCCTCTTTTGATCTTGAGCGTGTTATTTTTACGACAGACCTTTGGAGGCCTAATGTTTTGGGTGGCTTGTTGCGTGTTTTCTTTGCCTGTCATCTGCCACAGTAAGTGTAGGCGACATTGGCAAATGTGTGATCGTTTTGCCCTCTATGAGAGCTGTCCTTATGTAGGACATCTCTGTCACTGTTCGTCAGATGGGAAAACTAAAGCATTTCTGTCTCTCTGTTAAACATGAAGATGAACAGTGGAACATAAATACTTCTGCTAAAGAGAAGCAGGAGACGAAGGGCCCCTATTTATAAGACCTACTTTATAATGTCATAGTCATAAGAGCCTATGTCAGTTGAAGACAGCTAGGCTAAAACAACATGTCACACAGTATATTGGGTAAGCCGACTAGCTATGAAACAAGCTGGTCATGAATAACATGCAGAGCCTGTTTATAACATCACTTCATTCATGCTTATGACAGTAAGATAACTTGCTGGGTTTACTGTATATGAAGTCAAACCCTGTTTACCTGCAGACCTCTAAAGGAACAGATGTCATTATTTCATCTGAGTGAATCCCGTCCTTACTGTATGAGACTGTACACATTGTTTGTTATGTTAGCTTCTAAACCTCAATTATCGCACGTTGTTAATCCTCTCATTCAATAGAAGACCAATGTGATCATGTTGGGGTAGTTTCCCCCCCTCTTTTTTTCTCCCCGTCTCTCTCAACACGTTATGCCACCGTAGCGCCTGACTCGGAACAGCTTTGATCAGGACGTGTGATTTAGCACTGTGAACATGCGAGCGTAACTGCACCTCCTCCTCCCTAGCCACCCAGCTTCCAGTGATGTCGACTCTGTTCAATTGTGAAACTCACAAAGGAGGATTTTAACACTGACTTATATTTCTCTGTCCATCCCTCCCTCTCTCATTGTCCCTCTATCCTTTCTCTCTCTTTCTCTCCAGGAATTCCAAGGCCTCCACAACACCCAGACATATCCCCCTATTACCCTCTCTCGCCTGGCGCTGTAGGCCAGATCCCTCATCCGCTGGGGTGGTTAGTACCACAGTAAGCAACGTTTTAGTACTCTCTTTCTCTACTGTTATTAAGCATGTTTTAGTGCTCCAAGCATGTGCTGGTGTCTTTGTTTTGTAACTATGTCTAGATGTAGATTGATTTAGTGGTTTGGAGCATTAAGTTCTGTAGTACTTTATGTTGTAAAATCAGCATCCCTAATGTAGATGATATAACGTGAAATAGTTATCCATCAGAGGCAATGTCTTCTGATTTGTTGTGAATGCTAATAGAGCTTGGTTTCTGCACATAGGGAAAGCTCTGTATCCACTTATCTCAAACTGGGTCCTCTCAATTTTGATCAGGCACTGATTTGACTCCTAGCTGACCACATTGCAGCGAGGATGGCTAAGTCTCCCTCTCTACTGGAGTCTCCAGTTGATAAATTCAAGCAATGGACTGACTCATGGGCCACAGAAGCACACTGCGGTTTCCTAAACCCCCCTCCAACCCCAACTTTGTGGCGAATGCTATTTTGCATGTCTCTGTATTGTCCAATTAGAGCAATGAACCGTGATTGCCCGTATTTTACCCACAATTCCACACGGGGGCTCTCCCTGGGTGACTCTTGTCAACACTTGTTAATATGACAAAAGGCTACAAATTAAGCTCTGTTAATTTAATGTTTTCTCACCGCGATCTAAATACTGGGAGAGGTCCCGAGCGCAGCCGCGGCACCCTTTGATTCGCTGCACTTTATTTTGGTATAAATTTACATTCATTATTGTTTGTCTTTAGATGTGTAGACCTCAATTAGCGTGATGGCTCCATTAAAGAGTCGCGCTTCGTCTTTAATTATCACAACAAAACACCTAGATTCAGCTCGGGGAGGAAAGGGCCCCCTCTCCATCGACACTGAGCGAAGGGTTATGAAATTTAATTTAGCCATTCCTATCAGATTTGTGGCAATCAAATTGTTCAGAGTTTGCCTCTCCTTTGATCCGCGCTCTGCAATCCCCTAGATTTTAGTCCTGATCAAATGAGAATAAAGAGGCCTGCGATCAGGGAGAGAGGGAGAGGGCTTTGCCTCCTCTACTTCCATCAACCCTGTTTCTTTACCTCCTTCTCTTCTTTGTCCTTCTCCTAGGCAAGGTCAACCTGTTTACCAGGGTTTTAGACACCCCTACCCGACTGCGCTCACTGTCAACGCATCCATGCAAAGGTGAGTTGAGACTTGGGAGATAAACACGCACACACACACGCACACACACACACACACACACACACACACACACACACACAGAGAGGAGGAGGCTGTCACGCGGAGAGTGTACACTCTCGTCTCCACGTTCAAAAGGCTAATCCTCCAGTGTCCCCCGCTAATGTGTTGAAATATTAATTATATGTATCACTTTTGAGCTAATGAGGCCCCTAAAGAACATTTACCCTAGCTGCATGTCAGCCACATCTGTAATGGACGGGGCATGTCCTTGCTGCTAGCTTTTAAACAACCAGACACATTGATATATAAACATCTATACACTTAAAAGGAGAGAATGATGCATGCTGGGGCTTGACACATGGTTAGTTCTTTGTTGGGCCCATTAGGGTCCAGCTGAAGGGGAGAGCTCTGGACACAAGTGAACCCGGGGGGGGGGGGGGGGGGGGGGGGTTTGTTGTTGTTGTGTTATACGTTTTAAACTGGGCCTGGCTCTCTCGGGGGCAGTGCTATACTACTCTGCATTGTTGTTGCTGCGTTATGTGTTTTTAACTGGGCCAGGCTCTCCCAATACTCTGTATTGTATGGAATGTGGGAAGAGTTAACTGTGGATGACAAGTACCCCATGATTTGTAGGTTTGGAGTCTTTTCGAAAAAAATAAATACAGCTCCATATAGCCTTTGCTTTCCCCCTGTCCCTCTCCCCCAGCCCAGAGCTGTATTCACAGGCGTTTCAGTGCAGGCAGCTAGAGAGTTTGGAACTGGGGACCAGACCAAACTTTAGTTTCATTACAGGCTGATTGGAAAGGCAGCTCCTTATGGTCGACTGTTCAGACCTCGTTGATGGATAAGTGTGAGCGAGGGAGGAAAAGAGAGAGAGTGAGGCCTCGAATGGGGTATGGAAAGGTTCATGTTGTGAAATAGTACCTCACACCCTTAGTATTTTGACATTGAACACATTTCGTGTGCACTCGTGTTCCTCATCTCTCTCTCTCACTCACACACACACACACACACACAAACACACACACAGACCTTAAACGCTCCTTTTAATTAAAAGCAGAAAAGCACATTCACACTGTTAAAAAGAAAGAGGATATGTTTGCCAATAGATCTTAGTTTGTCCTCTTTCTTGGTTAGCCTTACATTGAACATGTATAACTTCACATGTATTCTTCATTAATACACAATACTTCCGTATTTAGATTGATCGTTTCCATCATCACCTTGATCCAGACTCCCTCATGGCTTTAGCGACCGACTCTTCACTCTAGCACAGCCTGGTTTTTCATGTCATCTGCATAGCAGGGTTATTATAAAGGCTCTAATTTATCATCTCTACCCCCTATTGTGTCCCTCTTCCACTCCCAGCGACTCCCCTAAAGCAGACGTTGCCCCCCTTTCCCCAGCCCAGCCCTGGTTGCCCTGCTCTTCAGTGCAGGCAGGGTGTGTGTCTGGTGTCTGGTAGAGCCGGGCAGCCAGACTAACTGGGGTCTGGCCAAATCTAGTGGACCTGTGCTTTAAGTGACAGCTAATTCAGCTCTAATGACGGCCTCTACATTGTGATCATCGTATTTCCAGCAAGGCTAATTGAATCTGCTGGATGGGGGCTAGGGGGATTGGCTGTGCTGTGGGGCTGGGGAGAGCTAATGCGTTCTGATGAGCCCTAATTGAATTAGCATAGCTGAATAGGTGGAGGTCTCCGTCTCTGGAGAAAGGGGCTTTAGCACATCCTTGTTAAAACTGTTACGGGGGATTTGACAAAAAAAAGATGGCCATTTGGGTTGTTGACGGCATAGAGAAATGGTGCAGAGTGGAAAGGTTTGGATAATTGTGTATATGACAGGGTTTCGGAAGCAAAAAATTTAAACAGAATTAAAGAATTGTCTCTTGGCTTTAAAAGGGCTTAAATATATCACAAGACATCCAGTAGTTATAAAGTCCGGTCCATGTCTAATAATTACATGAGGCCTGAGTGATTGAGATGTCCTGGTCCTGTATTTCACTGGGTAGCCAGATCTTAACAAGAGAACAACCCCGTAGTGCCACATACCGGCCCGATTACGATGCAGAGGGTGAGCCTCACTTTCGTACATTGCGCCCCCTCAATGAGCACCTTACACCAGGCCCTGTTCAAAAAATACATTATCTGGAAGGAAAAAAGGCAAGCAGGAGAGAGCAGAGTCGGAGCAAATGAAAATATATTCTTTTAAAAATGAGTTTGGAGCAGTACAGGTCCATTATCTCTGGCGGGCCTGTGTGTCACACGTGGGAGGAAGTGTAGGCCTCTCGCCCCCTGTCCAACGCCTGCCCTTTGATATGTTCCTCCCTCATGTCTCTCTCTCTCTCTCCCTTCCTCCCTCGCTTACCCTCAGCCCTTTTTTTTTTCTGCGGAAGGGAAAGTGCGCCGGACGAGTCATTATACATTAACCAGGCACGGGGGTACCGCCTCGCGTTGGCAATTAAATGGCCCTGGCTGACACTGGGCCTCCGTTGCAGCCAATGACCCACCCCCATCCCTGCCTTTCAGATTGAGACGTAGGAGCCTGGGGAATGGAGGCCTCCTCTCCCTCTCTCTCTCTCCCCCTCTGTTGGCTAAATTGGACCAAGGCGCTGTTCTGTGCTGATGAGGCTGGATAATGCCCCGCACATCAAAGGGATGGCCGTCATGTTTAAACCATAACCTGGGCCGCGCGGTGGCAGCTGGAGGGAGGGAGAGGGGGAGGTGGGAGGGGGGAGGGGACAGGAAGGAGGAGGAGAGTAGAGAAGGAAGAAGAGGAAAAAATGTGACGCTGAACAGAGGACATTTTAACAAGTGCACCAAGAGAGGGAGAAGGAAGGAAAGAGAGAGAGAGAGTAGGGGAAATGCGGCGGCCTAATGATGGGTGATCTGCAGCCACTGCCGCGGCTCAGCAGATGACATGGCACGAACACAAACGTGTCAATGATGAAGAGAGGAGAAGGGAGGAGAGAAGAGCAGCGGGAGGGAGGGAGAGAGAGGGGGGGGGAGAGAGAAGGAGGAGGGGAGAGAGAGAGAGACAGACAGACAGACAGAGAGAGAGAGAGAGAGAGAGAGAGAGAGAGAGACAGAGAGAACACACTCCCCAGAGATCGCCTGCAACAGAAACTAGTTGTTCCTGGCGAGTTGATGCTCATCATTATATTCTGGCTCCAAGCCATGCAGCCAGACACATCAAGAAAATGAGCAAAATAAATAAATAAAAAATGATTCCTCCTTTTTCCCCCTCCTTCATCCTCCACTCTTTTTCTATGATTTGTGTACGGTCATGCGTAGCTGAGATATATACTCTACACTCACACAGACACTCACATTCAAATAATCTTACATAGACATAATTACTCTCACTCATCACACACACAATTGTGTTGCTCATTGCTCTGTGAAGTGAATCCATCGATGCGGGTTATTGCCCTCTATCAGTGTAGCTAATGATACCAGTGTTATAAAGATGTAGAGTAGAGGGGTAAAGAATAACCATGAATAATCCTGATCTAGCACGAGGCCCAATAGAATAGGTCTAGGTTTAACATAGAAAAAGGTGCCTTACCAATGGTTAAAGCTAAGGCGGTGCCCTAGGAGCTGAATATGTTTTAACATGACCTCAGTTTTGACATCAGCTTACACAACAGATTGGCACAAGACTCAACATACCTGTAGTTTGTCACATTGTAAAGGGACCAAGACATCCTGGAACTTGTATTTGTCATCCACAGTCCACAGAGGGGTGGCAGCACTAAACACTGACTTACCATTGGAGAAAGTCACTATTTTGGCTCAGTTATAGAAGCATGTGAGGACTTGTTAAAACCCATTACAGTTAAAGTGTCTGTATGGGTCATTTTGGCAGAAAATGACTGTCCCGTCCTTCCATTTGAAACTCTTCCCACTTCAAAACAAAACAGCTCTTATTTTAAAATGAATATTATGAAATATGACTTGTGATGTGTAATGTGTGTGTGTACTGGGTAACTGTTTCTATGTGGTTGTGAGATTCTGTGATACTTATGGACCGAATCCTTTCTTGATATACGCGTGCGAAACTCAAGCTTTTGTATAAGTCATGCATTGAATCTCAATGAGAGATTTACATGAAAATCCGACTTTCCCGCTCGGACCTCAAGTTAGGATTCGGCCCTATACAGTACGTCAACATGTGCACGTCTGTATGAATGTCGAGTGAGCATATTCTGTCTCTGTTTGATGTGTCCATCTTCCATTTCACACGTGTCCACTCTGACGATTTACACAGTTTTCTGTCCTCCAGGTTCCCTCACCACATGGTCCCCCCTCACCACAGTTTGCACCAGACCGGCATCCCCCACCCCGCCATCGTCACGCCCAACGTCAAGCAAGAGTCCTCCCACAGCGACATAGGCCTCAACAGCTCGTGAGTACACACACATCTGCACACACACACACACACACACACACACCTCTGCTTATTTTTACCATTGTAAACTAAACAGCAGTAGCGGCACATTTGGCACTGGTATTATTGTTCTAAATTCTACCATTACAATAAGCTGTTTAATACCAATTCTGGGTATTTGCCAACCATACAGTACTATACTGTACACACTCCACAGGAAACACCAGGACTCCAAAAAGGAAGAGGAGAAGAAGAAGCAGCCCCACATCAAGAAGCCGCTGAACGCCTTTATGCTCTACATGAAGGAGATGAGGGCCAAGGTGGTGGCCGAGTGCACGTTGAAAGAGAGCGCCGCCATTAACCAGATACTGGGACGAAGGGTGAGAGAGAGAGACGGCACCGCTATAGACACAGACTCACTCACTTTACACATACAGCTTGGTAACTCCCTGTACAAGGGACTATGCATAGGGCAGGTAGCCTAGCGGTTAAGAGTGTTGGGCCGGTAACCAAAGGGTCGCTGGTTCGAATCCCAGAGCTGACTAGGTGAAAAATATGCCGATGTGCTCTTGAGCAAGGCACTTAACCCTAACTGCTCCTGTAAGTCGCTCTGGATAAGAGCGTCTGCTAAATGACTGAAATGTAAAAAAATGTCAAATGAAAATATCCACAACACACTTAATGTATGGTTTAGTTGACTATAGGCCTGCTACTGGGTCTGGAAGACAAGGGCAACATGTCTTAGTTTGTCTCTACCTCTTTTTTGCCCTCTTCTCTTTCTATGATTTCCTTCCCCCTCTCTTCCCCTCCCTCCCTCTCTCTCTCTTTCCGCGTGTCTGTCTGTAGTGGCACGCCCTAACACGAGAGGAGCAGGCGAAATACTACGAGCTGGCCAGGAAAGAGCGACAGCTTCACATGCAGCTCTACCCCGGCTGGTCAGCACGAGATAACTATGTAAGTTTTTAAGTTTTCAACACGTACCTCCTGTATTTCTCCCCTCACAAGGACATGTCTGGGATGAGTGCTCTTACTGTTCTGTCTGAGCTGAGAGCTCACCTCACTAGCAATGCCTACTGACTGTTTCCCTAGACACATTAGCCAATGGAATCTCCAATATACTTTACAGTAGATTTGCTGGGCTATATAAAACAGGGTCTAAAGTCCCTGGAATTCTGATGCTGAAGGAAGTTTCTCTCCCAGCGTTGGTGTGTGTCCAGCAGTTCAGGGGTCATCATACGCCCCTGCAAGGCTCAGGTTGACCAGTGAAACTTTGACTCCTCTCAGCCTGCACAAAGCATTCTGCAAATCTGACTCCCTCGCTAGAAACCAACAAAGCCTCTACATAAACAAGGGGAAAATAAGTGAAAAGATTACAACAAAAGAAAAAAGAGAGAGTAAAAAAATACAGAAAAGGAGAATGGGAAATTCTGTCTTGCAGTGGCAGTTAAAACCGGCGGGCAGAGAAAGAGACAGAGAGTGAATGAATAAATAAATATACAGAAAGATGACCCGTTTTGATTTCATGTCTCAGGTCTTCTGCAATATAATAACTAAGGTTCCTGTCTATTTCTCTTCTTTTGGCGGCTAACCAACAGGGCAAGAAGAAGAAGAGGAAAAGGGATAAGCAGCCAGGAGAGGGCAATGGTAAGTCTCTCTCCTATTAGGAGATCCATCATGTGTCAGGACTGTGTGACGTCTCACGAGATAAAAGTCTTTTTCTCTACTGCTTTTTTATTTATTTTTAAGTTGTTGTGCCTGGCTCGTTTTTTTTGACTACATAGTTATGCTACCCATAATGCAATATTTAAATGGTAGACTTGCTTGTTACCCCCTCCTTCCATTCCCCAACCCCTCCCCTAGCCTTCCCCAGCTAATAACGTTGAATATGCATGACCCCCCCCCCAGCCTCACCCCTCCTCCTCACCCCACCCTCCCACACACACACTTTGCCCCCCAGCATTTATGATACTGTGATATGTGTGTTTTGAGAATGTGAAATTTAAGCATTTGCGAGAGCCATTAACTTAGCCAGTGTTGTGTTTCTGTGCGTTATAATGCCTGTGCCCTGCAGATAGACTGTGCTTGTGTGTGTGTCTGTAACTTGGGCTGCCCCTGCTTGTTTTCATGCATGCTTTTTAATCACACACAAAAAAAGAGGGAAAAAATCACCCACATCTTAAAATTAAGGAGGTTTGCTAATTCTATTACTTTTTCATTTTATATTCTTATTCATATTCTTCTGATATTCCATATTGTGAGTTGAAAAGGAGAAATGCAGAATATTAAACTGTATTCTAAACTCGTTTACTTGACGGATCCCCTCTTGAAGGCCTCTCCATCTGTTCTTTTTTTCAGAACACAGAGAATATTTTCCAAACCCTTGCCTTTCACTCCCTCCGATTACAGGTGCTAATGTCATTTTGAGTCTTAAATTACTAACTTGTTTTTTTTTCTCTTTTTAGTTTATTATGTATTTATCTATGTATGTGAAAATATATTATATTTAAAATTAATTTTACTAAGCTAAATGCAATATTTTGAAGAATGTTATATGCTTTGTTTGCTGCTTTCTTTCTTAAAATGTCTCTTATGTTTATTTATTTGAACATTTTATTTATACTAGCAAAAGTATGTTTTATTTTATATACTTACATATTTATTTAATGATGCTTCTGTGTTAAAGCCATTTATTCTAGAACAATCTTCCCCATTTGGCCAAATCCATATGTTGTATATATTTCTAGCGGTGACTATTAAAGTTAAAGTAATCTTAATGTTGATTATGACCCAGAGATTTGACGTCAGTCAGGGTAAACCTCCTTAATCTATTTGCTTCAGTAGCTGTGCTTGTGCCTTTTTCTGGGCCAGCATGAGTTGGGCCTATTCCCCTACTACGCAGTCTCTGCTCAAACTAAGGCCTGGATTCACTCACCAAAGGATTCCTCCTTTGACCCAGCTATCACTTTGCTCTACATTTGATTATTAAGCCACTATGGTAGAAAACTGTGTGTCAGGTGTTTGAATTCAGGTCTAAGTAGTAGTGCCCTTGCTGCATTCAGTAGGGTTTAACCCTTTAATGCTTTCCCTGGCTGGGACTAACCCAAACCTTCCCTTAGCTTAACAGTCTGATACTGCTTCCTCTTCCTACTTACCACCTCTTCCCGCTCCTTTTCAAATATGGCGATAAAAAGTACAACTATGAATGTCACTTAGCAGAAATGTAATCAAGTCTGCTTTATTTCCCCCATCATATTCTCCTCTAACAAAATCGCTTTAGCCTTCTATTAAAGTGGAAATGACTATCCTTTTCTTCGACTTAATCTTTGCACATTTATGCATTTGTTAACTTTTTGCTTGCGGTTTGATTTGACTAATGTCTGAAAGACTAACCGTGTCTTCTGACAGTCCTTTCTGTAAAGGCATACTGCACAATTACTTGCATCTTTTTAGTTAGGGGGGAAATTAGCTAGATATGCCACGATTACGAAACTCACAGACTCACTGGTTTCCGTTTTTCTCCTTTATTTCTCTGCTCTTTTTCTTCCCCCTTTTTGGTTATTCTTCCTCCTGTCTGCTGGCTTTCCTCCCTGTTGTGGCATCAGACCTGAGCGCTCCTAAGAAGTGTCGAGCGCGCTTTGGGCTCGATCAGCAGAATAACTGGTGTGGCCCGTGCAGGTGTGTATGGTGTGTGCTGGCGTGAACGCCGGGGGCCAGGTGACGGCTGCTCTCTGAGCTGGGACTTCCTCCTTCCCTCTCCGCCTCCCTCTCTTCTTCCTTCGCCAGGCTGTCGCCACCTCCCAACTCTTCCTCCAACCCAGCCCTGCTAGTCTGGCCTGCCTCTAGTTGTGTTGGTGTTTGGGAACAGGGCTAACAGGGTATGCGTTAGTGTGTGTGTGTTGGTGTGAGGGGTGTTTGTCTGTACCCAAGTATAGATTGCAGCGTATAGATGTGAGGTTGTGTGGGTCCTATAGGGCAGATTTTCATAATGAGGGGCAGGACTCATCAGACTGGGTCTGAGAGGAGTTGGAGACGCGATGGCCTGGTCTGTGTGGAGGAGGTCCCAGTGTTGACAGCCCAAACCTAAGCCTTGGCTACATGTTGTCTGTCCAATGACGTGTCCATTTTCTGTGTTTTTGTATTGTTTGTGTGTCTACCTCTTTGGCTAACAGATGCAAATGCCCCAAAGAAGTGTCGTGCCTTGTTCGGGCTTGACCAGCTGGGTTTATGGTGCAAACCATGCAGGTATACCCCTGTAGTATCTATGGGAGGACAACCGTAATGACAACCACTTCCTTCTCTTACGTCTTCTCAAGATGTCCCTCGAAAATATATGTATTCATTGATGGCACCTACATTTTATCTGTTTCTTTTCCTGATTGGGGAATATTCTGCTAGATCTTCTCCTAGCAGGTCATTTCACCTATTTTCTTTGAAAACTAGAAGCCCAGTGGCAGAAAATGGATTTACTAGCATCATTATTTGTACACTACCTCAGTCCTGGTTGCAACATTGCACACAATCAAATTTAGGAGACCTTTGGGTCTTTTTGTTGTAATGTAATAAAAAAAATTATACATTTATGGTTTATGATACTATTCTTCTGGCAAGTTGAAAGGTTGAAATCCATTTTCTATCCAGGCTGTATGTAAGTGCCTGACATCCTAACTGTCTTAAGTGTCTGTCTGAATTGGCCATCTTGATAACCTTGTCATGTTAAGGCTTGGCCCTGCTTCTCAGAGGGCACCAGAGTGACTTTCTTCTATGCCCTCTTCCTCCTCCTCCTCCTCCTCTTCCTCCTCCTCCTCTTCCTCCTCCTCCTCCAAACTCCTCTCTAATAACCCTTAATTAGTCCCTACCTGTTGTCTTTCTGTTCTGACACAAGCAGTCTTTGAATTGGGAATATTTTCATGGTAGGTATCTGTTTCTGTTAAGTAATACCCTTCTCCGTGTCTGGCTTGCACTGTCTCCACCTCTACCCTGACCATTGTGACACTCCGTTTGATACTGTACATCACCATGGTCAACCCAAGGCATGCGACCAATCAATACATTTCATTTTTCTTATTTTGTTTTCAATATTGATCTGTAGTTATTACTTCGGAAAGTCTATCTGGCATTTTGCCTCAAAGAAAACAGCTCATAGGATATTGAGTGATCTTACCAAGTCACTTTTCGTGTGCAATTATAAAGGTTGAATTCATATGGCGTCCAATTGAAGTCAACATCCAATTAAAGTCATACACAAGGCCTGCTGAACTCTTAGCAATGCTCCACACAGTAGTACTGTTATAGTAGATTTAAAATAAGACGTAAACAGTTGATCACATTGATATAGGGATGACATACTCGCAGTATTACCTGATCCAGTCCATGAACGTAACGGGTAGATGATGAGTAGGCCAGCAGCGGGGTGTCAGAGGTCCTGGCTTGGAAATAGCCAGGGATAATTCCTGCATCGTTTAAGGAATCGAGAGGTTAACAGACCACACCGGGCTCCATTTCCTGAAAGATGCATCTGCCGTAATTCCCCTGGAGACGAGGAAATCAATATGTTACACAGGCCCATACTATCAATCGATATGTCTGTTAAAAAATGGATATTAGCTCATTTGTAGCGGTTTGACAGGCAGTTATCACTTCAGCACTGGCAGAGGTTTTACACTGATAGCTAGCGCTCAATACCACACAATACTCATACAGGGTCTTTGACAGCCTTTCTTTGCTTTTTCAGTTGACATTTCCCTGTGGTTTACTCTTTCTTGTGTGTCCATGTTGTGTGCTCGTTCTCTTTGTGTAATTGTTAAATCTCAGAAGTGCATGCCTCTTTATCCAGCATTCTGTCAGTGTAAGGTATGTGTGGTTGTCCAAATATATACTTTTCTTTCCCCACTCTCCCTTTCTCTTCATTCCTCTTTTATCAGTTCTCACTGATTGATCTCACCCCTATTTCTTTCCATCTCTTTCTCTCTCTCACACTATTTGTGTGAAACCTTTATCTGAAGGAGTACAGGCAGGGTATGACTTGAGAAACAGGCCTTACCGTTTATTGAACGATAGAACAGAGATGCTTACATTTGTCGAAGGCTAGCTGAACCAAAGCATTGTTTCTATCACTCACTTCTGCCCGACTCCCTCCCCACCTCCGAATTCTGTTCTTTCTCCTTCTTGCTCATTGTCCCTGTGAGCTAGCAACACAGTCTGAACCACAGTGTATTTGCCCTCGAGGCAGGCACAGACCTTGTGATAAGGAGTTGTTGTTGAGGTCAGGGTGAAACGAGGTGGGCATAGGCTCCCCCCTCTGTCCATCCTTCCCTCCCTGCACCCCCGCCCCCCCGACCCTCTTGAGTGATAGCTCAGTGCAGTTGCATTTTGGGCCGTTCCACAGAGCGAGATGGGTTGGCTGCAGGCACGCCAGACGGGAGAGTCCCGACCCGAGCAGAAATGCAAACATTATAGCGTGACCCTCATACACATGTCTTAGGGGCAGGTGCAGCGTAGCGGGGATCCCTCTAACCTCTTACCTCAGCATCCAAACTCTCCCCCCCTAAGGAAAGGAGAGCGAGAGAGAGAGAGAAGTCAGGATAGTGGAGGGAGGAGAGAGAGAGAGAGAAGTTAGGATAGTGGAGAGAAGTGAGGAGGAAGGAGAGAGAGAAGTCAGGATAGTGGAGGAGAGAGGGGAGGGAGGAGAGAAGGGGGAGAAGTTAGGATAGTGGAGGGAAGTGAGGAGGGAGGGGAAAGAGAGGGAGGACTAGTATCTCAGAAGAGCAGGTTGATCCTGGCAGTAGCTCTTCACCACGGCCAGCTCATTGGTTCAGTAAAGATCAGAAGTCTGTGAGGAAACGTTTAAAAGATGAGGAAAAATAGCAACAATAAAGGGAGTTGTTTTGAGATTCGCCATGAAAACCATTCTTCATTCTTCTTTATTCGTCATCCATTTCTCATCCATCATTTTCATCCTCCTGCTGTCTCTCCTTGTTCATCATCCTGTCTGTCTGTTTGGTGGACTGTGTTGTACTGTGTGTATGTCCTGGGAGTCTGAGCAGGCCACCTGTAGCCTTGATCCTCAGCCAGGCTGTAGCGTTGGCAACCACTTAAATGCACCAGAAAAATAACAACAATGTAAGGCCCAGAAATAGGTTTTAGATTTTATGTATGCATAATGCCAGTGAAACAAGATGGTGCATTTAAGTTGACTGCTAAGGCTCAGCTATTGCCCAGCAGATTGGTCAGTTCTGGGATGTCATGCTTAAAATAAACGTCTTTCTCTGTCCCCCATCTCCAGGAGAAAAAAAAAGTGCATTCGCTACATCCAAGGTGAAGGTAGCTGTGCCAGTCCTCCCTCTTCGGACGGAAGCTTACTAGACTCCCCCCCACCCTCCCCCTCCTCGGTGGCCCCCTCCCCCTCCTCGAAAGAGTCCAGACCTCAGACTGAACAAATGCAACCTCTCTCACTGACTATGAAACCGGCCCACCAGCCTCTCCACCACCCTCACCGGCACCTTCTGGCTGGGCATCCTCCTCCGCCATCTTTGGTTCTGCTGGAAAACTCTGCTGCTGCAGCGGGCAAAACGCCTGGCGCAGCCCACAACGGAGCCCACGGCGACGTCTCGTCCTCGCGGCAGCCGGGCTCCTCAGGCGCCGTCCTGGCCAGGCCCTTGGCAGCATCGCTGTGTCATTCCCACTCGCTACACCCCAACTCCACGGCCCCTCAGCCTCTGTCGCTCGTTACCAAGTCTATAGAGTAGATCCTTCCTTCCTACCTTCCTCTTTTTCTGCATCCCTAATTATTTTCTCTTTGTTTCGTTCAATCTTTTTTTTCTGTTTCTGTGCCATAAGGCTTTGAAAATGTGTTACTGTTTTATCAAAGTTCATTGGTCAATATTTGACCCATCATTATCGAAAAAAAATATAAATATTATAATGAAATAATAATCCAATGAGCTGTAGAGTATGGCCAAAATTCTTCTGAACTTCTGTTCTTGTCTTTATTTTGTAGTGTTAAACAGAAAATGGTTTAGTAGTTCCACTTAAACGTGTTTAAATGACAGATGACTATTCAATGAGCCCTTTTCTTGAAAGAGTTGGTTCTCCTTCATTATTTGTATTAAATACGAGCTTGCGAACCAATCATTTGAGGGTATGAGGATCGTGGAGACACCTCTCTTACTGAGGAACAACTTTAATTGTGATGTTACTTGTTCTTCTTTAAATGTACAGAACTATTGGCTGGGTGGGGGGGGGTTACTGTGTTAATGTGCATCGTTCCATTGCGTTGTCTTTTTTATTTTTTTTGTTTACCTTTGGGGGTGGAGTCAGGTGGGGTGGGTGGGGGGTTGGAGGGGAGACAGGGGGAGGGCTATTGGGGTGGGTGGTGGATTACGGTATTCAATACAAAATGTCACAACGCTAGGACCAGTAGTATTTATTGCTTTAGAGATTGCTTGTTGTATCTTGTATGTTGTCCATTTAAAAATATGTTCTTTTTCTTAATACATTGTATAAATATTTTTTCTTAACGTAAGCAAATATATAAAAACTTCATTTTTTCCTCACTGAAAACCTGGATTCCACCCAATGTACTGTGTAGATTTCACGAACAGAGGTATGCACAACTTCATTTCAAGAAATGCGTCTATAAGCCATTTTACAAAAGAAGAAAATAAAGTTGAAACAACAAGGGACAGTGGGTACCGTGTCTTCAGTAGTTTGGGAAAGTGTCTAAAGCCCTTCTTTTTTATTGCACAGTCCCATCTCTACCGGACTGTAGATTCGTGTACAGATTTTCCGTGCCAAATTTTGTGATAATTTTCTCTCCCCCCTCTAACCACGCTGTAGGGTTTTTCTGTTATGTTTGTTTCTTTTCTTCTTCTTTTTATTTTTTACATACTTTGCTGTGACGTTACATAGATTGCTATGTATGTAGTATAAATGTTGCTATAACAAATGTGTTTGGTAGCAAATTGTCAAATATTACAATTTAAATTTCAACTGAATAAAAAGACGGACATTATACTGTATAAACCCACAAGGGCCAAATTATGTATATTATTAGGAGGTTCATAAAAAACTATGAAATAACTAAAAAAAAAAATACACAAACTGCCACTTTTAAGTACACTACTACATATAGGTAGATAGAAAAAATAGGCATGTTGATGTTGCAAGAGGCTGTAAAAAAAAAGCTACAAGAGAATCATCCACTCGGTACCATTGTAGTTGACATGACGCGACTGTAACCTGTCGATTTCTTCTCTGGTTTAATAAGATGCTAATGATGAAAAGTTTTGAATGTTTCCTTAACGGCTGTGATGTTCCTGTTCTATTTCTATTTTATGCTTTTCCCCCCCTTTTCTTCCTGTTATTTTAAATGGTTCCAAAACCATGTTTTTGTAATGAATCAATGTTTATGCTGTACAGTCTCTGTAGCATGCAGTTCTGTATTAATAAAAGCGACTTAGTATGTGCAGATCAATCTGTGTCTAACTTTTGTGATCGGATATGTGAGTGCAGCAACTCAATGAGAGATTGCAGTAGTGTAAAGGTAATCGGGGCCAGTTTCCCAAACACAGATTAAACGTAGTCCTGGACTAAAAAGGATGGTCAAACTCAATGGAGAATCTATTGAAATAGCTTTTTAGTCCAGGACTAAGTTGATCTGTGTCTGGGAAACCGCCGTTAAGGGTATGCATCAGTAGCTACTTGTTTGTCAGGGAAAAACCATGACATAATATTACAAATACCACCAAAGCAAGGATAATCTTTGCTACTTCCAAGGAAATACTATTTCATTTTGAATGTACGATGAAAATGATTTGCACCCTTGCATTTCTCTTTATCAAACAATAAGCAAGTAGAGTTCAATATAAATGGATAATATATGTGAGTTAAAGAAGGTTGGCAATGATAAATGCAGAGGATGTAAATAGTGATGAATAATCTTTGTGAAACTGACCCAAACCCACCTATAAAGGAGTTTTGGGTTCCCTCCCGTATCATCATAAACAACCTCTCTCATCTGTTTTCAATTTAGTCTTAAGATCAGTGTAAACATAGCAGATTTTTGTAAATAGTGATCGGAAATAATTTACTTTGTATGCATCACTTTATTACATTTACATTTACGTCATTAAAGGCAACCTAAATGTATGTAGCGACGCTAAATTAAATAAATTAGGGTTATACAGTACAGATGTAGGATCTTAATTTGAGGCCGTTTGCTACAGCAGAAAAATGATCCTGCAGCAACAGGAAATGTGGATTATAATTAATGAACATTTTGGTAGGGGTTGATACATTTGTCGTAAAGTAAAATCTAGTCTGCAATTTCTAAGTGGAAATTACAAATTTCAGAATCCTTTTTAAACCTCAAATACACTACAAGTTTAAAATGTCCTGCATTGCAGGAATGTCCTCCTGCAACAGGGTGATCAAATTAAGATCCTACATCTGTATTTCATCAGTTAGCTACAATAAAGATGGCAAGAAGAAGAGTTGTCTCATGAGGGATAAGGAGTAGTCACAGCGAGGTGTTGTCAGTTTTGTCCTTCTTCATATAGAACATCATAGCGGCCACAATTTCCACTGTAAAACTACAAAAGTCGATGTAAATAAAGTCATATCAGAACATGATATTTCTTGCTTACCTGACTTTGGTGGTAAAGGTCAACAAAGAATAATAAAATCCACCTTCTAACCGTGATATACTCTAATCTCAAGTTCAACGTTTTTACCTGAGGTCAATACAGTGCCTTGCAAAAGTATTCATCCCCCTTGGCGTTTTTCCTATTTTGTTGCATTACAACCTGTAATTTAAATGGATTTTTATTTGGATTTCATGTAATGGACATACACAAAATAGTCCAAATTGGTAAAGTGAAATGAAAAATATAACTTGAAAATAAATAACGGAAAAGTGGTGCTTGCATATGTATTCACCCCCTTTGCTATGAAGCCCCTAAATAAGATCTGGTGCAACCAATTACCTTCAGAAGTCACATAATTAGTTAAATAAAGTCCACCTGTGTGCAATCTAAGTGTCACATGATCTGTCACATGATCTCAGTACATAAATAAAAAATAATGTATGCACTAACTGTAAGTCGCTCTGGATAAGAGCGTCTGCTAAATGACTAAAATGTAAATGTAAATGTAAATATACACCTGTTCTGAAAGGCCCCAGAGTCTGCAACACCACTAAGCAAGGGGCACCACCAAGCAAGTGGCACCACGAAGACCAAGGAGCTCTCCAAACAGGTCAGGGACAAAGTTGTGAAGTACAGATCAGGATTGGGTTATAAAAAAATATCCGAAACTTTGAACATCCCACGGAGCACCATTAAATCCATTATAAAAAAATTGAAAGAATATGGCACCACAACAAACCTGCCAAGAGAGGGCCACCCACCAAAACTCACAGACCAGGCAAGGAGGGCATTAATCAGAGGCAACGAAGAGACCAAAGATAACCCTGAAGGAGCTGCAAAGCTCCAAAGGGGAGATTGGAGTATCTGTCCATAGGACCACTTTAAGCCGTACACTCCACAGAGCTGGGCTTTACGGAAGAGTGGCCAGAAAAAAGCCATTGCTTAAAGAAAAAAATAAGTAAACATGTTTGGTGTTCGCCAAAAGGCATGTGGGAGACTTCCCAAACATATGGAAGAAGGTACTCTGTTCAGATGAGACTAAAATTGAGCTTTTTGGCCATCAAGGAAAACACTATGTCTGGCACAAACCCAACACCTCTCATCACCCCGAGAACACCATCCCCACAGTGAAGCATGGTGGTGGCAGCATCATGCTGTGGGGATGTTTTTCATCGGCAGGGACTGGGAAACTCGTCAGAATTGAAGGAATGATGGATGGCGCTAAATACAGGGGAATTCTTGAGGGAAACCTGTTTCAGTCTTCCAGAGATTCGAGACTGGGACGGAGGTTCACCTTCCAGCAGGACAATGACCCTAAGCATACTGCTAAAGCAACACTTGAGTGGTTTAAGGGGAAACATGTAAATGTCTTGGAATGGCCTAGTCAAAGCCCAGACCTCAATCCAATTGAGAATCTGTCGTATGACTTAAAGATTGCTGTACACCAGCGGAACCCATCCAACTTGAAGGAGTTGGAGCAGTTTTGCCTTGAAAAAGCTTATAGAGACATACCCCAAGAGACTTGCAGCTGTAATTGCTGCAAAAGGTGGCTCTACAAAGTATTGAATTTGGGGGGGTGAATAGTTATGCACGCTCAAGTTGTTTTTTTTGTCTTATTTCTTGTTTGTTTCACAATAAAAATATTTTGCATCTTCAAAGTGGTAGGCATTTTGTGTAAATCAAATGATACAAACCCCCTACAAATCCATTTTAATTCCAGGTTGTAAGGCAACAAAATAGGAAAAATGCCAAGGGGGGTGAATACGTTCACAAGCCACTGTAAGAACTTTCTCTACTCGAATGGGCCTGATTTCTGACAAAGGATGTTCTTTGTGATCCATCGTATGTATGCTTATTGAAAATATACAGCGCTCCAATGATTAAATGAAAAAGCAATCTGAGATGTCTCACAGACGTGTAAGCACAGGTCAGGAGAGACTCAGAGATAACAGTGTTTGTCGGCGCTGCTGAGCGCTTCTCTCCCAAAGCCGTGTGCATCAAGAGTCCTTCTCCATTGTTCTCTACACAGCTCCATTGTGTTCCTCATTCACAAGAGCTGGCGATTTGCTGAGGCACACAATATTTTTTTATATTTTGTATAT